TCAAGTGTAATTGTTTTCATCTCAGTTTCTGCTGTGACCTCAAGGCAATAGTGACTTCATATCAAAGAAAGGAGCTGGGCCGATGCAGGACTAAGAAGGTGACCCAAAGTGAGTTCAGACTTCTGCCTGATCTTTAGTCTATGAAAGAGCTGGAAGTCAGAGAACAATTTTTAGAAGCTGGTGATATCCTGTGACTTCTACTACCCATGGAGGTAGGTGGTGAGTGATTCTGCTGGACCTTGAGTCAACAGAGGGAGACCATGAGAACCAGGGGACAAAAGGAAAGTTATAAGGGGCCAGCCAGAGAGAGTGTATCATTCAAAGTAAGGGAATGACCGTGTGACCCAGTGATCCCACTTCTAGGAATATGTCCTAGGAAACCCAAAACACTAATCAGAAAGACTATATGCACCCCTATGTTCATAGCAGCACAATCTACAATAACTAAGACCTGGAAACAGCCCAAATTCCCATCAGCAGGTGAGTGGATAAAAAAGCTGTGGTACATTCATGCCATAGAATACTATGCAGCAGTGAGAAAGAAGAGTCTCTTATCCTTGGAGACAGCATGGAGGGACTTGGAGAGTATCATACTAGGTAAAATAAGTCAGTCAGAGAAAGACAAATATCACATGATCTCACTCATATGTGGAATCTAATTAACAAAATAAACTGATGGAGCGGATCCAGAGACATGGAAGCAGGGAAGAGTGTAGAATCTCAGAGGGAAGATGGGAGTGGGTGGGAGGTAATCAATCAAAGAACCTGTATGCATATATGTATAACCTATGGACACAGACAACAGGGTGGTGAAGGCCTCGGGCCGAGGGCGGGGGCAGGCTGGAGGGGACCAATGGAAGTAAAAAGGGGGACATATATGTAATACTTTCAACAATAAATAAAGATTAAAAAAACACACACACACACACAACCCTACCCAGTTTAGCTCAGTGGATAGAGTGTCAGGCCTGTGGATGAAAGGGTCCCAGGTTCCACTCCGGTCAAGGGCACATGCCTGTGTTGCAGGCTTGATCCCCAGTAGGGGGCATGCAGGAAGCAGCCAATCAATGATTCTCTCATTATTGATATTTCTCTTTCTCCCTCTCCCTTCCTCTCTGAAATCAATAAAAATATATTTTTTAAAAAGATTAAAAACAAAGTAAGGGAACGGCAGGTAGGAGGACAAGAGAAGTGGATGGAGTTGGGGGATAGGGGCAGGCCTTTGAAACTCATGCATCAGAAGCCCAAGCTTCAGTTTTAAACACACACCAGTCTCAGAGAGCCAGAAGTTCACAACAGCATTGGTAAAGTATGAACTTTCCTCTCCCCATCTCACTGTGTCTTAGCAACAGGGGACAAAAGAGGTGGTAGTACAAGGTGGGGAAACAAGGTCAAGGCCAAGCAAGCACTTGCTGCCTCTCCCCAGCCCCCACTGCAGGGGCAAGGCTGGCAGCGGGCCCAGGCCGGGGAAGGGGCGGTCTCTCTCTCTAAATGAAGTTCAAAGGTTCTGTTGTTACACAGGACTGGACGCCTCCTCTGCCTACGGGAGGGCCTTCAGTATCTAAAGCGATGGGCGAAGCCTGAGACTTCCCCGCATTCCCTCCAGGGCCGGGAAGAATGAGCCCCAGTGAATAAATTCAGTGGAGAGGAAGATAAAGTTGGTCTTTGATCCAACTGAGCTTGTTTAACGTAACAACAGGTAGTACTTTGAATGTGTTATTTCCCTTCTCGAATGAATATGGTGGATCAGCTAAAGTTCATTGACGCTGGGTTGTCTACCAATTCGATATTTAGCAACTTAATTTCTACCTGCTGCCAATGATTGGATTTATGGAGCTCTCCATAAATTTTCTAGTACTTTATAGAACCTGATAGTTTGGGATTCTCAGTGGAAGTGTGCCAAAGTAGCCCGGCTGGTCTAGCTCAGCGGCTGAGCATCACCTATGAGCCAGGAGGTCACGGTTTGATTCCTGGTCAGGGCACATTCCCAGGGTGGGGCGTGCAGGAGGCAGCCAATCAATGATTCTCTCTCATCACTGATGTTTCTTTCTCTCCCTCTCTGAAAATCAATTAAAAAATTTATATATTTTAAGGTGTATAAAAGTAGTTGATCTGAGGGTCAAACATATGAAAGAGGAGGAAGCCTGTAATTCCTAGAATGTTTTAAAACACATTTTTTTTTTGAGAAAAGGTGATACCAGCTCACAGAGGAACATCAGAATTTCAACAAAGAGTGCTAAGTGCTGAGGCGGAGGGGAGATGAATGATGGAGGTGGCAGCTGCTGCCTTTTTCCGGAGGGGCAACCACTTCTCTGAATTGCAGGGCTCTAGACTGGACCCCAGCCAAGAGCTGTACCTTGAAGGGTGAAGTTCCTATCTGATGGGAATCGGAACAGGGTTGCATTTGGTCAGTAGGTGTGGATATGGGCTGGGAAGCAGCAGAACTTCCTAGAGTACTATGATCTTGAAAGGGGTGGAGGTAGGTTGACAGGTGTACAAATTTGTCACTTAAGTGGTACATTTAGGATTTGTGCATTTCTTTATATCTACCTTCCAAAAAAAGGTAAACTAGTTAATGATATGGACATTGAAGTGTTTAAGAGTGTGTACTAATCTGTAATTGTCCTTTGAAAACACCAAGTAAAAAAAAGGGGGGGATGGATGTCGGAATGGACAGTTATGTGGTAGATATGGCAGGATATTAATTGGAGAATATATAATTATTTTAATTCTGTATGTTTGAAATATCTCATAATCCTGGGAGCAGGCACACCCTTGTTATAGTCAAATGTACTTCGGAAACCCAGAAGCCATGCCCAGGACAGCGGTCAGTTTATGATGTCAGTAGATACTGTATTCCTGTACACATTCTACTTTTTAAAATATATATATTTGTATTGATTTTAGAGAGGAAGGGGGAGGGAGAGAGAGATAGAAACATCAATGATGAGAGAGAATCATTGCTCGGCTGCCTCCTGCATGCCCTCCTACTGGGGATCAAGCCCACAACCCGGCCATGTGCCCTTGACCAGAATTGAAACCCGGACCCTTCAGTCCGCAGGCCAACGCTCTATCCGCTGAGCCAAATCGGCTAGGCAGTGGTCGGAAAACTTATTCATCAACAGAGCCAAATATCAACAGCTGAGGTCGACCCCTTCCAACTCTCCCATCCACACTCGTCTTGTATACTTGTTGCAGATACCTCCAAACAATGTACCTCCCCCGTGCTGTGTATCCTGCGGCCCGCCTGCGCCCCGTCTCCCGTTGCCCGACACCCCCCACTTCTTCTAACGCCACTGCTTCAAAATAGACTCGCCCAGGCCGAAACCGACTTCTGCGCATGGGCCACGAAGTTTCAATTGCACTGTACGTGCACACCCGCACGTGGTATTTTGTGGAAGAGCCACACTCCAGGGGCCAAAGAGCTGCATGCGGCTCGCAAGCTGTAGTTTGCCGACCACTGGGCTAGGGCCACATCCTAATCTTAAGTACAGAAACACTAGGGTTGCTGCATGTGTTGTATCATTATTTAAGCTTTTTAAAACATGCATTTTTACGTTAAGATGCATCCAGTTCTACATGCTGCATGACAAACTAGAACGCATCCAAGGGGGCCTCCCGTGTGTGAAATCCCACTCCCAAGGGACTGGGAGGTGGAGCATCTTATGGTCATGAGCCACCTGTTTCCCCCCAAAGTCAGACTGAGCCTAAACTTTTCCCAGGGCCTCAAGGGAGTTTTAGGATGGGGAATTTTAAGGCAAACAAGAGGGAGGGACTAAGGGGATAAGAGAGCCAGGCCCCCACCTCCTTCCCAAGGGACAGAAGCCTTTCCCTCCTCTAGAGCTGACCTCCCTACCCCCCATCAGTTCTTCTTCCTCGTTCTTCTTCTAGGAGGAACTCAAGCCAGAAGGACTCGGGAATCTGACTTGGATCCCAACCACCCACAGCCTCTGGAAATAAAGATACTGGTTGCTGTACCTCACTTTTAAACTGAACCTGATAATTACGGATCCAGGGCCAATTTGCTCCAGTCCTGCAATCCCCCTCTTCAGGGTTGCTCCCTGAGTCCCTAGGGACAGCACACACATGCAGTGGTTTCCTAGGGAATGTTCTATTTGAAGATTTGGGGGAAATTATTTAAAAGGTTTATTTCTATATTAAGACAAACATGGATGTTTTATGGAATGGAAAACTTATGATCATTCATTAAAATAGGAGATTTGAAGAAATTTGCAGAGCCCTTATAAACGACATCCCTATGTTCCAAGGGTACATGTTTTACTGCCCTGATACTGTTTTTGAAAACTTCACTGAAAATTTAGAAAAGTATTTTGCTAGATGGAAGAACTCACACCATAGGAAAGGGAGGACAATGAAGGGGGGATTTCAAGGTTTGCACTAAACAGTTTTAAATCTTTTCCCTCTGTAACAAGAAACAAAAGACAAAAAGAAAAACCTAATAAAAATTAAATACATGTGGTTAAAATGAGTGATGGGTGGCCTACAGAGTAGCACGTTCTGGGACCCCCACGCATGAGTCTAAGGGAAAGTGGATATTTACCCAGGATGAGCTCACTCAGGTAAATGGGGCCACCCAGGATTTCTTCGGAAGGCAGTTCATAAAGAGCAGAACTTCTGGAGTCAAATACCTGCGCTCCTATCTGTGAGACCTTGGGCAAGGCACTCTCTAGACCCCAATTTCCTCATTTTTAGGATGGCTTTGATACCCTGTCTGTAGGGTATTGTGAGGATATGTGCCATGGTATGTAACACACCAGGTACATTCTGGGCACTCAACACATATTACTTCTTTCCTTTCCCCAGGGCAGTGTAACAGAAAAAAATCTTTCAAAACAATGGTGGGAGCCTGGCCAGAGCGGCTCATTTGGTTGAGTGTTGTCCCAGGTACTGGAAGGTTGCTGGTTCAATCCCCAGTCAGGGCACATACCTGAGTTGTGGGTTTGATCCCATCAGGGAGCATCCATAAGGCAACCAATCGATGCTTCTCTCACATGACATTTATTTCTCTTTCTCTCAGCATGCCCTTGGGTAAGGATTAAACAAACCAACCCCCAAAACATTGGTGGGAGTGATAAATGATACAAGGGACGGCTCGGGACAAGAGACCCAGACACCAGGGCACGGATCATAAACCAGGTGCAGCCCAGCAAGCATGGCCACAGGTGCAGTAAGTAGCAGGCCTCTCACGCTACGAACACCATCTGCTGGGAGGGCTGGAGCTGGCCCCAGGGCTCAGCCTTCAGGCCACGTGATGACACAGGAAGAGGGCGGCCTTTCAACCTAGTGTTTAAAGACACACAACAGGGCAAGTTTCAGTTATTTTTAGTTAAAGAAAAGCAGCCTTTTCCAAGGGCAACAAAGGAACTGAACGTCAGGAGGAAGCAGGGTGTGGGTCTCTCACAAGCTCTTGTTCCGAAACCTGGACTTGAGGAGAGAGGCCTCCTGGGAACTCAGGGGAACTGGCCAGCAGAGGGATGCCTTTGGTGGGCGGGTGGAGCTGCAGCCCACACTGGTCACTGGATTGGTCTGCATGGGCTCTAAGGTGATTTCCACCTGCCAGTTGGTTGACATGATTAACACTATTATTCTTGGGGGGCATTAAATTAAGGAATGATGCATGGAGCCAAGAGAGTGGCTTATTCAGTTGGATTCTGGATCACAATCAGGAAGTAGTCTTTATCTGCAAAAAGAGAAAAAAGAAAACACAAATTACTAAATGTAAAATGTGAGAAAAACACACTAGGAAGGAAATAGGTAATTAAACCACCAAACATAAAAGGGAGTGGGTGAATACAAAGCACCATTGCCTAGGCCACTTCCAAGTGCTGGGAGACAGAAGGTACACTGGCAGGTTGCCTGTGAGGGCCGGGGCAGTGAGACCCCGCAGCGACCTCTGCGGCGCATGCTCTTTTCTAATCTCCCCAGTACCAACAGGGAGGTGGGATATCCTCTGTTTTCTGGGTAAGGAAACTCAGGTTCCGAGAGTTTAAATAAATTGCCAGTGGTTCTCAAAATGGAGGGCATCTGAATGACCTGAGGGCTGGCTGGGCTTAAGACAAACACCGCCAGGCCCTACCCCAAGCTCTCTGGATTCAGTAGGTCTGGGGTAGAGCCCAAGGGTCTCTCTCTTTTTCATTTTTTAAAAAATATATTTTATTGATTTTTTACAGAGAGGAAGGGAGAGGGATAGAGAAGTAGAAACATCGATGAGAGAGAAACATCTATCAGCTGCCTCCTGCACACTCCCTACTGGGGATGGGCCCGCAACCAAGGTACATGCCCTTGACCAGAATCGAACCCGGGCCCCTTCAGTCCGCAGGCCAATGCTCTATCCGCTGGGCCAAACCAGCCAGGGCAGAATCTCCCTTTTTTTAGTTAATCCTCACCCGAGGATATTTTTTCCATTGATTTTCTGAAAGAGTGAAAGGGAAAGGGGAAGAGGGAAGGAGCGAAACAATCATGTGAGAGAGACACATGCATTGGTTGCCTCCTGCATGCAACCCAACTGGGGCCGAGGATCAAACCTGCAACCCAGGTATATGCCTATGACGGGAAATCGAACCCATGACCCCTTGGTGCCTGGGCTAATGCTGTAACTACTGAACAACGCCGGCCAGGCTTGAACCTGTATTTATTTTTAATGAGCTCCCAGGTGACACTGAAGCTGCAGGTTCTGGGAGAACACTAATTTAATGTCACCCAACAAATCAGTGTCAAAGATAGATACCAACTACAACCCCACTGCTCTTGGGTTAATCTGCCACAGGCTGGATGAGAAAATTTCAAAGGTACCGATCAAAGGGGGCCAAAGCTACATGGATTCCAGCTCTGGGGATCCCATCCAGTAATGAGGAATGTCCACCATGAAAGCATTGCAAGTTCAAGATCTCAGGGCTGAGTCTGACTGCTTCTCGTTTTATAGAAGAAATTGGAGAAGCCATGTTTCAACTTTGCCCTGATTATCAGATTGTGAACATTTACCAAGGCTTCCACGTGGCCAGTCCTGGGTCAACCACTTCCTATAATGGCATCTCAATGAATCCTCAATCACGCTATGAGGCAGGTACATACTAGTGTTTTCTCACTTTATACTGAGGCGCAGAGAGTTAAATATCTTGCTCAAGCCAAGGCAAAAATGTGAGGTGTGGCGGTTGGGTCTGACCGCCCTGC